TCTTACCAAAAACAAAGATGCCTCTCAGATTGAATCCAGGAATTGTTCCAAGTGTTCTGAAGTAATCTCCCCGGAAATTTTGAAGCCAGTCATATTATTGCCATGTAACCACGTTGTGCATTTCGAATGTATTGACAATAAGCGTAAGCTATGTCCTGAATGTCCATCTATTGATGATCTGGAAAAAGAAGGATATTATATCTCGCCTATTGTTTTAGCCAACGAAACACCCAAGAAAAAAAGGAAGATGCAAGAAAAAGATACTCATAAAAGTAAATCTAAAAGGGCCACAAAACCCAAAGCAATTATTCGAGAGTTATCTGTTGCTTCAACTAGCAGTGGACCATCAATCAGCGCTCCTTCTGAAACTACCAATATTGGTGAAATTTCTAATCAATTCCATAAACTATACTACGACGTTGATATTGCTGAAAAGAAGGGGGATCAAGAAAACCAGGAGGTAGTTCAATGCTACTTTCGGTTTGGGAGAGCTCTATCAGAACGACTTGCTGTATTGCTCAAGAACAACCCCCCACAGACAGCGCATACAAAGTTAAATAAAGAAGTTAAGGAAAAGCTTCCGGAAAAAACTAAAGATGCTATAGTGCGTAAAAGAACAGATATGGCTAGAAAAATTTATGATATATTTAGTAAAATCGGAGAAGATAAAATCAAGAATATTAGATCTTTTACTGCATCCAGTTTTTCTGATCTAACTAGAGATGAAGTTTCATATATCATAAAAAATTTTCCTGTGTAATTCTCCGATAATTTAACTAATAAACGTGCCTACTGCGCCACATCGCGTGATATATCATGTGATACTGTTCTGACTCGGAACACCCCCATATGATATAAATTTCAAGTGAATATACAGTATATGCGGTTATTATTCTTATTGCATTTCGAAATTCTCGAATAATTAACATTAAATATTCAGTAACCTGTTAGAATAAATTCCACGAAATTTATCCGTATCACCTTACAAGGCTTATGCATAATTTATTTGTGGGCACAAACACAAGTGCTACATATTACAGGTTTGTATTGTATAAAAAAATAGCACGTATAAATTATTTTTTCTTCGGTTAACATATAACAATGAAAGATCAGAATAACATACTCATACGTAAAGATAAACAAAATTACATCGAAAAGTGGCATATCTTTAGAGGATGGAAACATGGGTGTAAGGTTTGTGACGAATGCGATCATCATTCACACCTATATTGTAAGACCTGTAAAAAAGTAGCGAATGGAATATATAAGCGGTGTGAATGCGATAAGAATTTATATACAAAAAATACCAATTTGGCAGTACTATAATAATTCCGCATATAAAATTTATCTGTACCATCTTACAAGGCTTATCATTATGCATAACTTATTTGTGAAACACCTAATTGTTACAATAATTGCGATGATCACCTTATATGACGCATTATTTTTGAATTTGAGAAAAATTATAATTCTTTCATTAATACGTGATTTTAAATTAGTAGTGGAAGGTGTAAAACGAAATAATAAAAATTTTGTTTATGCTAGTCGAGATTATGCAAGAATTAATGGTTAATGAAAATGATACCTTCGCTATACTGCCCTTTTAAATGGCTTTTGCTTACTTTTCTCCCTCGGGAACATAGTAAAAAAAATGTAGCATTTATAGAGAGCTATAAGCTGGGATCAAGCTATATCGTGTATTTAGAGAGAATTACACTTTATAGAATGTCGATATGGCTAAAAAAGGCATCTATACTTATTATTTATAACTCTATATCGATATCGGTTTATTCCTCGTTTTTTTTTACTAAAAAAGGCATTCATACCTATTGTCCATGATTATATCAAAAATTTTTTACGAATATAAAAAGAAGGAAAAGTATGGTAAGAAGAACGTTTAATACGTAAAACAAAAATAAAATTTATACTAAAAATGAATTCACATAAAAAGGGCGAACAGCTCGAAAAAGCATTCACACAACTTTTTAAAAGCAATAACGTTGAATTACGTCAAACGAAGTGAGTTTTCATTGAGTTATTTGTTGAGTTACTATGTGTCTGAAGTTACGCTGTCACTAGAAGTAAATCAGAGAATTGAAAGCTCTTCGTGGCCACAGCTTGCGAAAGTTACTAGTCAGGTATTCAGACTTGACGTATGGTGGACGGCCTGCCGTGAACGTTCTTCTCTGTTTTCGAAAAGCCGGCTGACACATGTATCGGGGCCTGTGATGAATAAGATACATAAATTATTATCGACTGACACATGTATCGGGATATAATTTTTGGTAATTATGACACAAATACTCATTTATATTCTTCTATACCAAATAGAAAGGAGCCAGGTGACGGTGGAATCGATCATTTTGGTGGTTACAGGGGATATACAATTATTGGCCAGTGCAAAGTAAGTATCATGTTTTAAGTCAAATAATTCAAAAACTCAAAGCTTATCATTATAGAACTATCCCGAACCTGGATCAATCGGACCGCAATATTTACGTGATTTAGAAGGTGTTTTATCCAGATATCACAAATATACAACAATTGGTATCTTAGTAGCACCTTCGAAAGCAAGTTTCAGTAAAAACATAATTAATAGAGCTAAATCATCTGAATATATCATAATTCTAACGGATATAACAAATGCTTATTCAGATTTGGTTCAGTTTGTCGATTCTCAGTTGCCTGTTGTTCTTCAACAAACTAGAAGCTCTATACATTGTATCTTTCATTTTTATTTTATTATTATTATTATATTATTATTATGTATATTGTTTCAAAACAAAACTATTGACACTAGTATCTACATTTATTGATGAAAACTTGCCAATTCACATGATCTATTAAAGCTTATCATTAGGAAATCCACGAGACTTTAAGACTAAATATATTTACTCATTCTTCATTTCTGCAGTTCATTGTTGAATTTGTTTTTTCACGATGAATTTAATGAACCTAGTAGTAAAAGAAGTAAGTGACTGATTCGTATTTATAAGGATTGTTTCGATGAATGTTATAATATTTTTTTCGAAAATATCGAGGATACTTTTTCCAGAGCAAGGTTATTACATTGTGAATTAGGAAAAATTCCCGTCTTAGAAATCCAGGTGATAGGAGAACGTATATTTGTTTCTATGTTAGATTTATTTGAAAGTGTTTTTTACTGGGTTTATTGAACTTGCGAGATTACTATATCTTTACGAATTTCCACGCGTCAGGTTGTTGAGGAATTTTTAAGGGGTAATCTCAAATTAAGGGCTATAGTTAAAGAGATTGTCGAATGTCGGTAAGTATAAAAGATGAGATCAATCTTCTACCAAAATGTGGGAAGCGAACTCCATCAACATCGATGATATCAACGACATATTCTCCACCAAGAAATTCTTAAATTAGAAAAAAATTCAAAAAATGTGTTTTTATCCCGTAATTTATTTTTATTTTTATATAATAAAGCTGGCCCTGGTGGCTGATTTCGCATACATAATCGCGTTTACTTTGCATGTGTATTTCGTGAATTTATTTATTTTATTGTAGTTATCGATGTATATTAACTCGCATATGATCAAGAATTTTTAAAAATATTTCTTGGAAAAGTGATCGGCGAGTTCCTGACCGTTGGTCAGGATGTTACATAATTTTTATTTAAATTAAAGGAGTTAACAAAAAAAAAATTTTTTTCAAGACGTGTGTAGTAAAAATCTTTTTCAGAACATTTCTAATAAAGTTATATAAATTAAGCATGCAACCACAAAGAGATGAATCTATGTACTTATCCGAAATAGATTCATTGAAGCTGGAATTGGAGCAGATAGTAAAAGAAAAAAATGCACTCGAGGTTGAAAACGCGAATCTGAGGCAGATTATTGAAGAGAATTCTAGACGTGATGTAGAGTTTAAGAGCAGAATTGAGGAGTTGGAGAAAAGTAGAGCAGATACTGCTTTTGAGAATGCTGAGCTTAAAACTGAAGTAGTAAAATTAAGAAGTGATTTCGAGGAAATCAAATCAAAGGGAATAACCACCGATTCTCCAGAGCAATTACCAATTTCCTCATCAGCCAAAAATGAGACGGTAAGTGTTTTTACCAAAACGAAAAATTCGAATGATACTTATAAACGGATAGACTTACGATGCGATAATACTCCTCCATCTGATATTACTAATAACGTTTCAAATTCTGATGTATCTGATAACGCTTTTTCAGAATTATCTGAAAATATATGCCAGGAGACAAATCCGACAAATCCTCAATGCACGATCTCACCCATATGCGCAAAGTCTAAATCTTCTGAAGATAAAAAGATCGAATTTCTGGAACGAGTGCATAAAGAACAGATTAGGAACGAAATAAAGGAAAGGAATCGCGAAAAGAAGCTTAGATCCCAAGACCCTTTGTCATCTGATAAAGTTATAGAAGGCAATTCAGACATAGAGTGTCCTGCTTCGCAGACTATTATTCAAATAAAAATGCCCCGTAATCAGAAAATAGAACAAGATATAATTCAAGAAGTAATCCTGTTTATTAAAAAATCTCTTACCTTATCGAGTGATGAAAAAGCATACTCACAAAATGAACCTAATATTTCTGAAACCCACGATAGTAATATAGAAATAAACAATGATGGACGAGAGTTGGCCCAATTATTTTCTGATGCTGAATTTGCAGAAGGCAAAACGATAAAGGCTAAGCAAAAAGAGGTAATATGCTGGTATACTTACAGAAAAGCCTATCAAACCAGCGTTGCTGATATACGCTCCAAAACTGGCGTTTCTGATAAAACTGCAAAAAATCAAGTTTATGCTAAGGTAGGGTTAAAAATAAGAGTTGTATCTGGGGTTATTGTATTCTGGCTTTGACTAGATGCCATTTGT